TATCGGGTCCCACGTTGGGCGCCACTGTATTGTCCAAAAAGTACAGGTGTGTGCGTGTCCCCCCTGCAATGGTAGGGAGACTTAGAGACTCTAATAGATATATTTCATGTTTGGGAGAGAGGGATAGCTCACGGCGGTGAGTAGCCATATACAGTGGTTTTTGAGGCTGTTTTAGGGACCAACTCATGTGAGGTGAGTGTTGCTGGCCAGCGCTGCTAGGTCGCAGGAGGGCGGTTGGAGTGATGTTGTTAGAGTTAATCAGAGCGGAGTGCTCTTTGAGTGGTGTTTGAATGTGCAAGTAAGTAAGTGTTACTTGAGAGTCGTCCATCTCTCCTCTGAAGGAGGAGGTATTTATAGGAATTGTGAATTCCTAAGGCTTTCTTGGAAAAGGTCGTCACCACCCAGTCAAAAGGGGGACAATTGAATTCCTATTTTCAAGATATACGTGGGTCTTGGCTTTTCCACTATCCAAGACACGTCTTATCCCACGTTTTTCTCCTCAGAGGAGATGAAAGCATAAGGACGAGGTGGTATCTCTCTTCTGACGACCTCACATCGTCGCCTTTTCCTAGGGCGGTCCTAGGTTGTCGCCTTAGGAAAGGTTATGTGTAAAATATAACAGTACATAATCAAAATGTTTGTATCAAACTTATCAAAATAATGGAAGATCGTGATTATTTTCCAATAGTTTTTAACACCATTGAAGAATGGAGTAGGAAAATTGAGGAAGAACATTGAACCACTATGTATCTCTATGTATCTTTTCCTTCTTCCCATACATCTTTTATTTTTTCTGGTATTGATTAATATCATTATTGCGTTAGTGCATTATTGCATCATTTGTATGTCATTTAGGTTAGACAATGCTTATAGAGATTTTATGTTTAAGCTTAGATCTGCGATGCATCAATCTTATTGGATTATCATAAAGGTAATTATGTTTTGAATGAACATCTATGTAAAAAGTTTTTAAACCACGTTGTTTAATGCGACTTTGGTTGTCTTGTAATTGACTTGCATTAGAAGTAATCAAGTCCTTAGTGATATCATATAATATTTTACTTGGTTTAATTTATTGAGATGCTTCCAAGCTTTCTTAGTGATATCATATCATATTTTACTTGGTTTAATTTATTGAGATGCTTCCAAACTTTCTTAGTGTTGAGTTTTGCTTGTGTTCCTTAAAATCTATGATTTTGTTTATGGAACCTAAAATATTTTTGAAATTGTCTTTTAGGGGACATGTTTATTCAACCCCCTTTCTAGATCTCTTTGTGTTCATATTCTCACCCAACACATATTAGTTTGAAGGCAAGTTTGCAAAGTATCAAATTTTTGGTGTGTTTAATATCCCTCTTGAGGCAACTTGGAAAATGAACAATAAAGTCTCCATCAAATGTTATTTATCCCACAGAAGACAGGGGGAAACATCGAGTAAACCTGAGAAAGAAGAAATCAAGGTCTTGCGACCAAGAGAACAGGCACGGAAGTCGATTACACAAGGGGAAGGTAATATCACCCCTCGCGTTCGTGGTACTCCACAGAATCCACTCTCGTTGTTCTAATCAAAGGGTGTGTTATATCTAAACTTACAAGCTAAAGTAATGCATGAATGCAAAAGAAAAAATACAGGGAAAAACAAAGGTTTTAAATGGTTGTGCTCGATTAGGCCCTACAACCCAATGCCTACGTATCCATTTTAAGGAATCAGAGTATCGTAGTTCGGCTCAAAAGTTTTTGTATATTTTATGTTTTTTAATGAATGATGCTAATTTTGCATTCTACTGCCAATCGACCTTTGGAGGCACTCAATTGTCGTAGAAATGAATTAACATGTTCTTACCTGAAAAGGTTTTCAAAAGAAAAGCCTGGAGGCAACCCGAAGGCAAAAGGTTTGAATTGGTTTAGTCTTTTTTATCTTGCAAAAGGAATTGGTGATCTGAACCACATTAAAGACTATGATTGAAAAAAAAACATAAGGTTAAGGAATGCACCCCCTCATACTCCTCCCAATTCTTAAGGCTCGTGACACATGATTTTCCTCTTTATTATTAAGTATTTTTAGCATTTGATTAAGAAAAAGAGATTTAGTTTTAAAGATGCAAAAGGGGGAATGAAAAATCTAAGAGAAAATCTATTCCTAATGTTGACATGTAATGGTATTCCTAAAGTTAAGATTAACAAATGGAAAATCTACCTAATGTTAGCATGCATGGTTTAAAATCCTAATGTCTACCTTGATTCAAAGATGACCCAAGTGAACCTAAGGTAACATACAAAAACAAAACAAGAATGTAAATAACAAAAAGGAATGGCTTACAAGCCTACCAAACACCTAAGTGTATCACCTAAAAAGCAAGCAATGATCAAACAAGCCTAAGCCCTAATTCATACTTCAAGTCATCAATCAATTAGCATGAACGTATCACACACAAAATACTAATGTTCCCCTAAGGGTCATGCATACATGGTTCTACCCCAAGGCATGATAAACCAAGTCAAAAGCAATCAACAATTTCACTAGCACTAAAGGTTTAAAGTGCCAAAGCAACATCAATGCTTAGCAAGCAAAGGTAAAAGGACTTAGACAAAAGGGAGACTTAACCAAGTTAGCAAGCACATCATTTATATAAATGTTAAACAAATCACAAGAAATGTAATCATCAAGGTAAATTAGTGTTGCACCCCAAAATTTATCCTCTTGTTTTTAGAATTTTAATGGCTTATGTTTCATCGTATACATTCATGCATCTTTTATGGGATCAAGGTATATTCAGTTCTCATATTCTTCTATAAGTTAAAAAAATGGTTGTATTGTCTATCAATGCAAGAAGAGACTCATGTCCTCATTTTTGTTGATTCAGGCTACTAAGGCTTCTCATGCCTCGAGACATCTCAACTGATTCTTGGTTTCATCAGGAGATTCAGAATTACAATGGTTTCAAATTGAATCACGCTTTCTCCTATCCTTTAGATTTTGTTCATGGATTTTGATTATTGGAATGTGTGACTTCTTTCTTGATAAAATTATGGAAGCACTATCATCGTGAGTATTTTCTCACTATATAAGGAATTTGGGTTCAAGAGATCAGCGATGTTAGGGTTTCAGTCCTAGATATCTCTTATAATCAAAATACAAGGCTATTAAGGTTTATTTCCATACGATCATTCAAGATTAGGGTTTATCACTCATCATGAGTGAGCTTGTTGGTTTTGTAACTGAGGTTCGTTGGATTTTCCTGGTAATACTGTCTTGAGCATCATGCCCTCAACTTCTCAAGTTGATCTTTATCTGAAGGGTTTCTTTTAGCTTCTCATTCTACAAGTCAGGAGAAAAGCTTTCCCTTCAAGAGTTTGAGGTCTCCTTTGTGGTTATGTGTCAAATTATCTTCTTATTTGCTTCAAGACTTGTTTTCCTCAACGTATTTCCTCAAGGGTTTTAGCTTTGCATTTTCAAAGCAAGATGTTTGTGGATTGAATTAC